CGCGCCCCGCGCTCCGCCGCCGCGGCCCGCCGCAGACCATGCCCTGGGCTGTGCTCCTCGGCCTCCTGGCCGCGGTGCTGCTGCTACTGCTGCTGACCCGCCGGCGCACGCGGTGAGTCCCCCGGCCCGCGGGCCCCGTCTCCCCCTACCTGGCCGGTCTGCGCCCCAGGGCAGACAAAGGGGGCGTCTCTGTGCCTGCCCGAGCCCAGACGAGGGGTCGCGGGGCCAGCGGCAGGCCTGGAGCCCCCGCCCCAGACTCCCGGGCAGAGGGGTCACATTTCCACTGGCCACCCCCAAGGGCGAGACCTTCGGAGGTGGAAGTCCCAGGACCCCGCAGAAGGGGCTCCCGGGCTGAAACCCCCCTCACCCAAGAGGGGCCAGGCCGAGTTGCACCTGCAGAGAACGATCAACTGGCGCGCAGCGCGCCCGCTGGGACCTGTGAGGGAGTCTGAGTGGGGAGCGGGTGACCCCGGGTGGAAGAAGCCGTCTCCGGCTCTTTAGGACCTATGGAATAGCCTTGCTGCTCACCCGCATTACACAGATGCGAGAGTTGAGGCTGGGGGAGTTGGAGGTGCTGGGGGATGCCATCCCCGACTTGGATGGGTGAGGGTGGGTGGGCTCAGTATTTCCATCTGCCAGGGGAGAAACTGCGACCCAGAAAGGGGTCTCCCCTCCCTGAGATCCCACAGCCTGGACTGTGTGGAGCCAGGGCTAACCTTCAGCCTCCTGGCTTCCAAAGGTTTTCCTTTTTCACGGAGAACCTATGATTTAGAAGAAAAAGTAAAACTCATATACCTCGCATCAGGGAGATGGCAATTGGTGTTTTTTCCTTTATAGAAATATGTATGTATTTTAACTGCACAAAGAATAGCTGAATACATTTGACTTAAAACAAATCATTAACCCCAGTACAGGTAAGACTGAAGCCCCTCTAACCACCTCCTCCTGCATTCTAGTCCTCTCCCCAAACCTCTCATGTTAATTAGCTCCGGGGAAACGCTCCAGATTCTTAAAGAATAAACTTCTTCTTTTAGAACAGTTTTAGAGTTACAGAAAAGTTGGAAGGATACTACAGAGTTCCCGTATACTTCTCACCCAGTTTCCCCCACTGTTATTATCTGACATCATCATGGTACATTTGTCACAACTTAGACACCAACACTGGTTTAAAGGAACTAAGCTGCAGACTGTATTTTGATTTCACCAGTTTTTCCATGGATGTCCCCTTTCTGTTCCACAACTTGATCCAAGCTGCCACATTGGCTTTGGTTGTCATGTCTCCTCAGATTCCCCAGATATTTTAAAAATTACTCTTATATACATAGACATAAACTGTAGATCATACAGGGCGCTGTGTGTGGGTATGTGTGTTGGTGCAAGTGTGTATGTATACATATATGTGCACGTATGTGTGTGTACATGTGTACATGTGTGTGTATGCAAGTATAAAACAAAACAAACCTGTTGTTGTTGGGTTGATTCTGACTCAGCGACCCTGTAGGACAGAGTAGAACTGCTCTGTAGGGTTTCCAAGGAGCAGCTGGTGGATTTGAACTGCCAACCTTTTGGTTAGTGGCCGAGTTCTTAACCACTGCACCACCAGGGCTCTGTATGTAAATGGGTGTGTATAATTATATATATATATTTGTATCTATATGTATGTATGTGCATCTATGTGTAAGTGTGTGTATATATATGTGTGTGTGTAGTTTAAATCCAAGTGTCTGAAAGTTCCAGAACATAGGGAACTTTTTTATTTTTAAACAATGTTAGCTGAATTTTCAAACAATAAGCTCACTTTATTTTTCTTCAACTTTGAGACACTTTTTTGGGTGAAATTTAAAACCATGTATTCAATCACGTGACTGAAAAAAGAAAAGACAATAAGTTTCTCTCTGAAGAAATAAATGATTTTTCCTAAGTTGTCAGGCTTTTGGGGCACTCTGTTTAAAGATGCTTCCAGACTGTACATTTGCTTTTTTCACTCCAGGTTTTTGTTTTCACATCCATCCATGTTGCTCCATGGAGATCGACTTCATTCTTGTTTGTCTTCTGGGTATTGTTGCTGTCAGCTGCCGTCGAGTTGGCCCCCAGACTCACGGCGACCTCATGCACGGTGGGATGAGATGCTGCCCAGTCCTGTGCCATCCCCATAATTGGTTGTGGATTAGGCTGTTGTGATCCATAGGGTTTTCATTGGCTGATTTTCAGTATAGGTTGCCAGGCCTTGCTTCCTAGTCTGTCTTAGTCTGGAAACTCTTTTGAAACCTGTTCAGCATCATAGCAACGCTAAAGCCACCCCTGACAGACAGGTGGTGGCTGCGCATGAGGTACATTGGCTGGGACTCAAACCTGGGTCTCCACATGGAAGGTGAGAATTCTACCACTGAATGACCAATGTCTCTATCTTCTTAAAAGTATTCCATAGTATGAATAGGTTACAGGATTTTGGGTTTTTTTCCCCCTTTTTTACCCATGTCCTTACTGATGGAGTTTTAGATTGTTTCCAGTGTTTTTGCTGTTTCAGACAATGTACTGTGATCCTCCGGTGGGGGCCTCCTGGTCTGGGTTTTTCTCGGTGGGTAGCTGGAGGCGGCCGTAAATACATGGATTCTGGGAGGCAGGGTATTTGGATGCCCGGCATTGTTACTGTATGGGAATTCCTGGCCTGTGGGACTATGGACACATTGTGTGATATCTTTCTGCCTATATTTCCCAATCTTTAAAGTGGGGATGGTGATAATATGTGAAAGTGGATTTGTTGGCTTAGAAGGAATACACCCTTTAGCATTATACGAGCTAGTTCTTGCCAATACTGATCCAGAGAGCTCTTTTATCTTTTTTTTTTTTTTTATTGTTGTGCTTTAAGTGAAAGTTTACAATTCAAGTTAGTCTCTCATACACAAATTTCTACATACATTGTTATGTGACCGTAGTTGCTCTCCCTATACTGTGACAGCACACTCCTCCTTTCCACCCTGGATTTCCCATGTCCATTCAACCAGCTCCTGACCCTCTCTGCCTTCTCATCTCACCTCTGAATTTAAACCAGTCTTTTACTTCTTTGTATTGCCTTGACTTCCTCTCCATATGAAAAATCTATGTCTAAATTTTATAGTCCCTCTTTTTTGTTTTAATGTTGCCGTCTTTTACATATTGACATCTCTGTTTCCCGATTTTCAGTGTTTTAGCTTTGATTTATTTTTGTGACTTCCCTACCTCGGTTGATATCTGGTTACTCTGTCCTGTGTTCAAGTTTTAGGTTGTAATCTGATGCTATTGGTTTTCTAACAGAGGACTCCCTTTAGTATTTCTTGCAATTTTGGTTTGGTTTTTGCAAATTCCGTAAACTTCTGTTTATCTAGAAATGCCCTTATTTTGCTGTCGTATATGAGAGACAGTTTTGCTGGATATACAATTCTTGGTTGGCAGTTTTTTTCTTTCAAGGCTTTATATATGTCATCCCATTGCCTTCTTGCCTGCGTGGTTTCTGCTGAGTAGTCTGAGCTTATTCTTATTGACTCTCCTTTGTAGCTGACTTTTCTTTTATCCCTAGCTGCTCTTAAAATGCTCTCTTTATCTTTGGTTTTGGCAAGTTTGATTATAAGATGTCTTGGTGACTTTCTTTTGGGATCTATCTTATGTGAAGTTCAATGAGCATCTTGGATAGATATCTTCTCATCTTATACAATATCAGGGAAGTTTTCTGCCGAGAAATCTTCAACAATTCTCTCTGTATTTTCTGTTACCCCCCCGTTCTGGTACGCCAATCACTTGTAGGTTATTCCCCTTGATAAAGTCGCACATAATTCTTAAAGTTTCTTCGTTTTTTAGAATTCTTTTATCTGATTTTTCCTCAAATAAGTTGGTGTCAAGTGTTTTATCTTCAGTCTCATTAATTCTGACTTCCATTGCCTCTCATCTCACCTCTGGAGGGGACCTGCCCAATTAGTCTCCTGTATCTACTTGAGCTAAGAAGCACACTCTTCACGAGTATCATTTTATGTCCCATAGTCCAGTCTAATCTTTGTCTGAAGAGTTGGCCTCAGGAATGGTTTTAGTTTTGGGCTAACAGGGAGTCCGGAGGCTATGTCTTCCGGGGTCCCTCCAGTCTCAGTCAAACCATTAAGTTTGATCTTTTTACTAGAATTTGAGTTCTGCACACCACTTTTCTCCTGCTCCATCAGGGACTCTCTGTTCTGTTCCCTGTCAGGGCAGTCATTGTGGTAGCTGGGCACCATCTAGTTCTTCTGGTCTCAGGCCGATGGAGTCTCTGGTTTATGTGGCCCTTCCTGTCTCTTGGGCTAATATTTCCCTTGTGCGTTTGGTGTCCTTCATTCTCCTTGGCTCCAGGTGGGTTGGGACCAATTGATGGCTGCTTGCTAGCTTTTAAGTCCCCAGATGCCACTCACCAAAGTAGGATGCAGAACATTTCCTTAAACTTTGTTATGCCATTTGACCTAGATATCCTCTGAAACCATGGTCCCCAGACCCCCGCCCCTGCTACTCTGTCCCTCAAAGTGTTTGGTTGTATTTAGGAAACTTCTTAGTTTTTGGTTTAGCCCAGCTGTGCTCACTTCCCCTGTAGTGTGTGCTGTCCTGCCCTTCACCTAAGATAATTCTTGTCTACTATCTAGTTAGTGAATATCCCTCTCCCTCCCTCTCCACCCTTGTAACCATGAAAGAATGTTTTCTTCTGTGTTTGAACCTTTTCTTGAGTTCTTATAATAGTGGTCTTATACAATATTTGTTCTTTTGCGACTGACTAAATTCACTCAGCATAATGCCTTCCAGATTCCTCCATGTTATAAGATGTTTCACGGATTCATCGTTGTTCTTTATGGTTGCGTAGTATTCCATTGTGTGAACATACCATAATTTGTTTATCCATTCGTCCGTTGATGGGCCCCCAGGTTGTTTCCATCTTTTTGCTATCGTGAACAGTGTTGCAGTGAACATGGGAGTGCATGTATCTATTCGTGTGACAGCTCTTATTTCTCTAGGATATAGTCCAAGGAGTGGGATTGCTGGATCATATGGTACTTCTATTTCTAGCTTTTTAAGGAAGCACCAAATCGATTTCCAA